AACTAGTTAATACCCCGGGCAATGCCCGGGCCCTTGAAATTAAAAAAATAAAATAAAAATTTAATATTAAAAGGAAATTAGTAGTGAAAGGATATATCATTACTTAAAAGAAAAATATAATAGTGAGTCTTAGGGAATTTAATCTTAATTATGTCAATTCCACAATATATGCATATTTAACTGTTCGGGGATACAATTAAAAACAACAAAATACTCACGATGTTGTGTCTTATTATAGCCATAGTATCCGCTGCCATATATGATTCACAAATAACATGGATGATGCAACCTCACTGTAAGGAATTTGCCATAGGAGGTTTTTGCAATCAAATTTCAACTTGAAGAAATAAGAATTGTCTCATGTTACATAACACATTATCAAATGTGTTTTGCAAGAATACATTTACAAAAAACAATGGAAACTAAATCAATACCTCAAAAGTATATTGTAATGAAATTCACCCACAATGAGGCCAGTAAAGCCTAGCAATTAAACTGACAACAAAAGTTATAAAGCCTGTAGCAAAGCTCAAATAAAAGTACAGTTAAGTAGGTAGAATAGAATTAATAGCAAGTAAACTTTCTTTAAGAGATCTCTTTATACTAATTCAAAAATTAAAGAAGCATTTCTTGTCATTATCCAATCTATCTTTCTATGCAAAGTGATGTTCTTGTTAAGTATCTTTTAAACCATGTTCAAACTTCCTTCACCAATACATAAATGCTCTTATCAATTCATAGTCACTAAAAAGTCAATGTAAAAAGTAGTAAAGTCAATAATGAATCCTAGTATCCTACATATATATACTTTATACTGGTGCATGATTTTGCATCTATACTTGTAAACAAATTCCCAATTCTAACTACCTTTAACATATGTAATTATGTATTGCATTTTACATGTTGCATTTTGTTGTCTCCATGATACCCATAAAGGAGAAGGAAATAAACAGAGGCAAGGTAAAATGGTAAATCCCATAGCCTTAGGTTTATGTGCATCCAAGAAAATTCAATTACAAACTATTGATTAGAAGATAAGGAAAATTCTAAATAATCAAAATGTTTTTTGCTCAAAAAAACAGAGTTACTAACCAAAACCACAAGTACAAGGGAGTCAATGACCAAAACCACAAGTACAAGGGAGTCAATGAGCAGTATCACCAACAAGTATTATTTAATTGTAGCAACATACAAACTTTTCAGCAACTTTAGCGTGCATCACCCATAGCTTTATATCAATAACAATTATAACTGAGAACTCTCCACCAACCAGTTTGATTTGTTAACTTATTGCATGTCTACACAAATTTGCATTCTTTCAGAGTAATCGTTACAAAAAATGGAGAAGGAACCTTATTACATACCAAATCTTACAATTAAATTTTTTTTAAAAAAGTCCATCCCATATATCAACTGTTAGGATAGTGTGAAAATCATTCAAAAACAGTTATAATTAACTAATTTGTCTTGCGCATAAGATAATAATTGTATAAGCAGAAAGCTAAAGCCTAAGCTAATGCATATTTCAAGGGTTAATCTTTGGGGATTTCTTCATGTTAAACCAATGATGCTACATAAGATGGCACTTTCATACCATGATAGCTTCATGATAGCTTCACCATTTCTTTACAAACCATGTAACA